ACTAGTAAAATTTAATTCATTCATTTCTTGTTACATCGGGTGGATTATTCCATTCTTGAATTTCTCCTGAACCGGTGAGAACAAATACAACAAATGCTAACAGTTGTGCGATAATATTAATCCAGAAGATGTATCGCCATCGTGCCATAGTGTGCTAGGTTAGAAAAAAAAATAAAATTATAATCGCGAGCATAATATCAATCGATATTAATAATTATTGGAAATGGTTATCTGATCGTTACAGTTTACGGATTACAGCAGGCAATCAGCCTTCATTCAATGCACACTAATCCGTGGATTACTCTATGCGAGACTGTATTTTCGATAAAGTAATTAATTTTACAGAATTTTGTAATACACAAATAAAGAATCAATAAATACATATTTTTCACATATATGGTATCGAAATTAGAAAAACTGGCGATTCTTTTTAAAGGTGCGTCCAGTAACGACTTTTTATAATTACGTGTTCAAGGATTAAGGGTATTTGAAGATAATTAATTTCCTTTCAATACTAATTACACTTCCTCGATAAAATGAATTAAACTCAAATAAAATATTTCACAGAATGTGAAACAGTGTTAGTGTTTAATACATAGTCTTGCATTATTATTCCACGTATGCATTTTAAAATTGCATTAGCATTTATATAACTGCTAAATTCCCTGTCAACTCTGATCTCTTATTAAACACGTCGTTTAACCGTAAATAAATTGAAAATAATGCTACACCCGTAATATCTTATCGCGTTAATTTACGTTTTATTTTACTCCGTATAATCAAAACTTGGAATATGTATTACAAATAATCGAACACCTTGTACATAATATGATTACTGTAACTATAGCTTTGAGATTAATAATATACAGCATTAGTATTGAAACTGAATCATTATAATAGATTTCCACAAATATCATAAACATTAGTGATACCTTATAAATGAATAATTAATTCTATCATATAAAGTTTAAAGTGTATAACAATTTAAAGCAAATATACTACTTATTACGTTTCTCTGCTGTGAAACATCTGTAGTCTCTTATTTAAAAAAACGAACTGAAAATTCTTTTGAATGTGAATCAAAATTCCATTTCATTAGTTTATTTTTGTCTTACTCAATATCACAGGAATGTGAATTAAAGAATTAAAATAATTCTTTACTGACCCCATTCTCCATAAAAGCACCCACCAATGCTGGCAAGATAAATGCAGAAATTGTTCCCGGTGTATTTGTTATTCCCATTAAAATTCCTGCATAATTTGGCGCTAGATCATTCTGATTGCAAAGGTGACCCATGAAAATTGCACCGCACAGTACGATACTTAGAATCAACAGTACTGTGGAACCTACGCTATCGCAACCAATGTACATGACGATGATTAGGAGTAAACTTGGTGGAATGCAACCTACAAAACAGATTTAAATTATATTAATATACACTCGAGATATTAACAAATGAAGATAGAAAATTTTAAACAAGTGTTTTTGTTTATTGTTTTAAGTAACGATTTATGCAATGACTTTCGTTCTTTTAATAAACTTTTATGTAGAATTTATGTTTTAATTAACAGAAAACTTCTCCAACTAGCCTGCTGTGTGGACACTGTACTTATAACGCATAAGAAAAGACATACTTCATTTCAAATAAAATTAACTACAAAATTCTACACATACTTTAATGTCGTATGACACTATTGTAGTATACTCGTCATACTGCATCATAATATTAAATAATAATGGAAACATCTGCATTATATGATAGTAATAGATATAACTCACTTATGAACACAGCAATCTTTCGAGCAGTAGTTTGCGACCAGTATTTATTTTGTCTGCCCCAGTCCAGTGCTTTTCCCAATAGTGGATTGGTGATTGCATTAATTAAATATGGTAAACTACTGAGAGTAGCATTCTGTATGATGAAATAAAATTAAAAGTCACTGATTTTATCCTTCATACCATAACAAACATATAAGCATTATACGTATATGTACATATATATTATATATTCCTATGTATATGAATGAAAGTTCATTAACGTGAACAGGAAAGTATTTTAGGAAATAAAATAGACCAATTATAAAGGTATTCCTTTTGATTCTTAACTGCGTTATTTAATGTGAGCAACGCAACTATAGAATAGGATTAGTGTTCGGAGATATCTAAAATATAAACCAATATGCGAAAAAAATAAACTCAAGCAGCAACAATTCTGGAAACGCTATTACATCCATACAACGCCGTTTCTCATTCACGTCGTCTTAGAATGTTTCGTCACAAAAAACTTCATTGGTTTATTACCTATAAAATTCGAACATTCTATTCTATACCCGAATGTTCGCAAGCATTCGAATATACTATCTTCGGAACATTCACAAATAGTCTCAAACGGTTGACAGTTAAACTCTCGATCGAAAACAAAGTCGTGTGAAAATATTCGTACAGGTATTTGTCCTATCATGCCTAATCATTTACTTTATGCTACAATATCGTATCAAACTTGTGACGAAAATTTCGAATAGAATTTAAAAAATATAAATATTACTCAATTATTTTGAATTTAAATTTACTTTCGTAATTTAATTCGTTCGATCACAGTTAAAAAATAAATCACAGGACAAGGTGTTAAAGAGCTTCTTAATATTTACCAGCTGAGTTTAAATTAATTTATTATTAGTAACTAACACTCTAACATGGACGCACTAAATTTCCACGGACAAAGGTTCTTTGCCAAACTATATCCACGTGTTTCCATGGAAAAAGCAACTGTTTCTATAACTATCTTTTTAATTGCAGTATTTTGTTAAACTCAACAAATCTTCTAACAGAAATACTGAACAAATAAAACTAAGAAGTTTTATTGAGTTCCTGAATACAATGAACTTATTTACTCGTATTTCATTAATATAAATAACAATAATTGCAACGTTAATATAATTTTCTTTATATAAAGTGTAGCAATGTGACTGTCACGAACATGTGACGTTCACAGTGAACACGTTAATGAAACGTTCAAAAAGGTACTTACCGACTTAATGTCAAATCTGAGTATTTTGTTCATATACAGAGGTAGCTGCGTGAGCAAAAAGTACCAGCAGAAGTTACCGAATGTGTTGGTGAATAGTAAAGACAGGAACGGCACTGATGTGAATATCTGTTTCCACGGTATTTTCATTGACGTTGATTTAGGACTTCTATGACCGTACGCGGTTGTAATCAGTTGCCTTTCTTTCTCGGTGATGTACTTCTGCAATTCCGGGCTGTCGGCGAAAAATAAGTAAAAGACTACGCACCAAATTAATGGCAGCGTGCCGTGGATGTAGAAGACCGCCTCCCATCCCAACGCGTCTAATATCATTCCGGATGTGAAGATGGATATTACGGTGCCCAGTGACGTTCCGGCATAAATGATTCCGACCCACATGGACTTTTCTTCGTAAACGACCCATTTGCCGACGAGCACATTCACTAACGGAAGATTCGCCGAGCTCACCAGGCCCGTGAGGAATCTCACGATGTAGAGCACAATCAGCTCTTGAGCGGCTACTGGCACCAATATGGTTAAAATGGCGTTCCCCAACACGCAGATCAGTAAAATGTTTTTCGTATTGAAGCTGCAAGATATTAATATGCAAAATCGTTTTTATTGATGATCTTCTGAGTAGGATCCTGAATTTTATTCTATAATATTACAATGGTAACGTGTTAGCTACTAAACCATATTATCGTAGTATGTTTTATTTGAACTGAAATTCCTAATTGTTTCGTTTTTATTCATATGAGAAAAATCGTATAATTTTACTTGAAAATAATAATTCAAATATTTTATAATGAACTTTGTTGCTATGAGAAGCATTGAAAAGCAAACATGGGAAAGCTTTTCTCGTATGACAAGAATGTGCACACGCATTATCCACCAGTCACAGAATAGAAATGAAAATTAAGCAGGATTAAAATTGTTAGTAGCAATATTTGTAAAATGTTAAATGTTAATGTTTGCAATTTCAGTCATTGGTATTTTTAAATTGTTATTACTTTTATTATATTTTGTTCTTTAGAATTTCATGTGTTTGAAGTTATCAACATCATTTAATCTAAACATTTGAAATTATGTTAACCGAGCTAATGCATAATTTGTGTTAAATATTCTGATATTTATGATATTCAAGTAATTTAAAAGTAATTCCAAAAAACAGTGGGGAAGCTTTGCATGAAGATCTTATGTCGAAATCTTATATAATGTTCTTTCAAGATCTTCGATAAGCCTATACTGTAATCGCTTGATAAGAAAGAAAATCACGTTTGTAAGTTCTTAATAAGTGAGTGATATGTCGTAGAGATGTATTATCTTTAGCCTAACTGAGCTGTAAAATTTCTGCATTTATAAAACTCATAAATATGTTGAAAAATATTGAAAATGAACTCTAGAACTTTAAAAAATGTAGAAAAATAATTGTACCATTTCTTTTTATGATCATTTATATTTAATAACGCGGATGAACAAGGTTTTGTAGAGAATTGTTATATTTCTTCAAATAAATTAAACAACATAATATCACCACATTTATTATTTGATTTCCGTGCTTTCTACAGATATTTATATTTAAAGGAACAGGAATGTTGAAATATTTCGTTCCCATGCAAAAGTATGGACACGTATGTATCATGAAGCATATAAACTGTAGATGCTTCAAATTGCAATAAAAGTGTTGTTCCTCTAAGAATAAAAATTATAACACTTAATAGTTAAAGCATCAAACTATTTTTACAACAATCTTCTTCATAAATTTGAAGGGCTTTCCTTAACGCATTCTCAGCATTGTCTTACTTTATGATGGTTACTGTTAACATGATTCTATAACATTTTATGATTAAAATGACATACGTATTGTTTTGACTAAAATTGATCATTCTTTATGATTATTGCAGCTATCTAAAAATAAATTGCTAAATATGAAGGTGGCTATTAAAAGTGACATTCATGATTTGAAAAATGGTACGTGACATTCAGCTAAGACTTTTGGCTAATACACACAGTCCGATTATAACTTACCGATCTGCAAAATATCCAGCTGGAAACATTCCTGTGAGGTATCCGGCGAAGTATATGCTCACTACCAAACCCTGTTGCGTCGGGGTCCAGTCAAAGGGACCATCAATGTCCACGTGCGAACCTTCAGGAACCTCGAATCCACATTCATTTGACGCATCCCCTGTATGTGTGCCGTTCGCCTTTGCCTTAACCATGCCAACGATGGCCGTAGCTATGTTGACTTTCAGGCCGTAGATGATCATATTTGCGATGCACAGCATTATCGCAAACAGGAATCTCACAATCTGTAATTCTGTGAAATGAACAAATAACACGTGTCCCAAGTGTGCGGAATTGAACTGATAGTTGTATGATTGTTGCCAGGCTGCGGATTTTTATGCATTTATACGAACCGTGAAAGTACAAAATTGCACAGAATACATACGATACGGAACGAATTATAAAATATCCAAATTGTAGTACTTTTTATAATGTTTTCTAAGCAACTGCATTTTCTATTGCAATTCTACTTTTCTAATTATGTTTGAAAAAGTTTGGAACTATAAGAATCTGCAGTGTAAGCATTACATGGCATTTCTGTCTGCTTAGTATTGATAAAAAGAAATTGTTTATTCATTTCTTCGATTAAACGTATGTTTTCATGATTGCTAGTTACCAGTGGACATCTTAATGCGTATTAAGTAATACAATATACACGAAGGAATATATAATAGGTCCTATATATGTATACAAAAATGTAAATATTCAAACTTAAGTAATTCTAATAATTTTGAAGAAAATACCTTATGATAATATATTCTGAATGTTATCTTAAAAACGTAGTATCTTATTATATTAACTTTTTTTATGTAAACCGTTTTTATAATTTCAAATAGCGGAATATAAAAATTAATCTTGTGAACAATATTAATCTTTAATAAAACCTTCGAATATTTATGAGTTAATATTTATGTTTTTTTTTCTGTTACAGGTGAGTTTGCAATTCTACAATATTCTAGAATAAGATTTTCGAAATACTACAAACCAACAGATCAACCGACGTAAGTGTCATTTGAAACCAGTATAGTACTTTATTTTTGGTAACAGAATTAGAATATCAGTGATCGACCTTATCAGAGGCAGTGAAAACGAAACAGATGTAAAACAATAACATCCATAATTGTGTAAACATAATTAATAATAAGATGATGGTCTAAATAAGGTCTGATTCTGAATATTTTTGATATCTACTAAAATCACTTCTTTAAAACATTAAATTCTTCAGATATAACCTGTCACTTATGCATTATTATTGTTTGAAAAATCACTTTCGACTCATTTATCACAAAAAGCAGATTTTCAATTTCACGATATATGTCGAAGCGTATTAACGATAAACAATTAAAACCTGACCCCCAGCATATGAGTATTAACCTATACTCAATTTGACACAGATTATATCTCATGACATACCGGAGTTAAATATTCATTGAAAAAGGCGAAAATTATTCTTCGCTTACCCATCGTGTATTTCCTTTCTCGTGCTGGCCAGCCTTGCTGATAAATATTGTGTTCAAAATTGCGAACAAATATCGTTTCTTGTCACTTTTCATCAATTTTCTCCCGACCAAGCCTTCATTCGCTCGTTTATTCAGCAGCTCGATGATGACCATCGAATTATCATTGACGAGATCGCGAAGGGTCCTGGAAAATCGTTTTTCATGTGAAGTCGATCACTTCCGCCATGTCAAAGTTTTAACTGCATTGCGTCAAGAAACGAATCATCACTTGTTTTTCAAATTTCAACAGTCATTATCTGCTGACAGACTGAGAATGTCTATAAAAATTCGTGCATATTCAAGACAATTTTCAGAAAGTGAATAAAAGTGAAATCCTATTAATCAAGATATTTGTTCTCTTTTTGTTTCCTCCTTTCATTAATCAATAGATTAATCTGAACACCTTATTCCCATCATAATTCTTTGACTATTTATTTCTAATGCTTTATTAATGTAATAAAAATTGTGTAGGACAAATTAGTTTTCATTAACAAAAGGTCAAGGCATTAATTAGATGTAAATAATAAAGTTGAGATACAATAAAGATTAAACCCATTTGTTACTATTGTGTCAGTCTCGTTTTCTGCGAACTGAAATCTAAAAGATAATAAATACATACAAACAAGAAATACAATATTTACAAGTGGAAAATAAAAATAACCGGCAGATTTATCTATTCAACTGTAGATATCGATCAACATCACACATTTGATTTTGTATAATTGACCGACATATTCGTGAGATATTATCTCCTTTTTAGTTTTACCACAATAACCACTATAATTTCCAAGCAAATGATTTTTTTATAATGTTTTACGTTTTCTCTATTAAGAAATTGGTAATATTAAAACGAATATTGGTCTTATCATTTAAAAGTCTGGTTACAGCGAATTGTATAGGTTTACAGATGGTGTAACTACAGAAATATCCATTTAATCCATGATATCGTTCACAAATTAATCACAGAAAAGTTGTAAATGAACATTAGCATCTTGAATTCTTTCCAAAAATTTGTTATAAATATTATTCAAGTGTACGAGGACACACTTTCCGAGACTTCTTCAGTTAATAGCTTATCGATTTATAGATTATGTTTATATATTTGTATATTATGGTTCTTTTTCTTAAGAATTTATGAATTATCAACTGAATTAAATTAGATAAAAACAATTAAACCGATTCTATAGTCGTACATCATTCATCACATGATGGACGTTTCCTATCAAATTCTCTTTTGCAACTGAATCTCACGACTGGCTTGAGCTTCGAGCATTCAATTATCCCAACCATGCTGTAATTGTCGGCGACGATGTTCTTATCTAATGTTCGGACTGATGTTTGAAGAAGTATCAACTGTTCGAGAGTTTTTATCGTGCAACGTCAACCTGTTGAACGCCACCGTTACACACTGCAGGCTTCTGCGACATCCTCTACGAATCTCCCGACACTTGCGATTCCCACCGACGAATAAACGTGCACTCGCTTGTTGCGCGAGTTTCGGCTATATAAACATTTAACTTCCCATTCGGAAGCAACGATTCGTTAAGCTGTTGAATGGAAAATGCAAAAGTAGAAATTGTAACCGTGTTACGGCGCATGTCAGCACATTTCAGCTGCTTTCATGTAGGAAAACGTTCAACGAAATTTAAATCCAGGAATACGCCTTTAGTATCAGGGATCAATTATTTTTTATCTTTTACGAATTCTATATTTCTTTTTGTTGTTAAATATGACTATTTTAATATGCATAATATTTCTGTGAAGTCTTTTTTGAGTTCTTCTACTCCAGGGACTAACATATTTACAGCGAGCGTTACTTGAAATCGCTCACTTCAATATTTTCAATGATTTTCTTTATAAACTGCTTTCTATTATATAATTGATATGAAAATAATTTCCATATAAATATGTTCCTGTATTTTTATTGATTGTATTGCAATAGTAAGGTACAAATGTTATTGTCTGACGGCAAATTGAGTTAAAGATCGTATAATTTTTTTACTGCGTGTTTAGTGGGTCATTTCGTGAATACTGCAGTTTAAAAAATTTTTTTCATTTTTAAAAATAAAGATAAACAGAAACTTTTTTTCAAGTAATTATAATGTATAAATTAGTAATTTATTAAATTAGTAAAATAAATATAAAAAACCTTACTATTTATGAGATGATCTAATACAAATGTTTTTTATAATTATAACCATGAGTTTATTACTATTAAAATGAATATATTAAAATTAAACGAACTAGTATCGAGAAACATAAATTAATAATACTTCTCCACAGAAATTGAAAAGGTTAGGTAAAAATCAGTCAGTAAACTGTAGTGTATTGCATATTAATCAAATAAAAACAATATATAAAATTAATTAATATCTATTAATTATCTACAATAAATGTACGTAGGAACGTATCATAAATGCAACTAAAACGATACTTTATTTTTCATTCCGAATTAGTTACTGCATTAGAAAAAAATGTACTAATGTACTAATACAACTTTAAATACAAACAGAAGATTTGATAATTCATTCTAACTAAAACTGTTAATACATATAATACAAAAAGGACCAGAAGCAATGTATTAAAGTTACTTGAATAATTATTTAAATTCATACCTTCGTGAAATTGAATAAATAGAAACACTATTTAAAGTTTTCTGTCTTGAAGTCTTCATTGTCAGGTTAGTCCTAATGCAATAATTGCACAATTATTTTGGCCGATATCTTTAAATAATGTAAGTTAATATAATATAGTATAAGTTATATTCTATACTACAAACATATTTCAAACAGTTATGCCATAATATAATTAAAACTAATTTTATTTTTTCCTCCATTTATAGATTCTAGATTAATTTCTTTTATATTAATAGAGTTTAAACTTTCCATTTATAGCACACGGTAGCAATAGAAGCGAGTAATGCATAATACACGTTCCATGCAATTTCCACTATCTAGTGAGTCTGCTATAGTTGTCTTCTTGAACAAAAGGCTATTGACACAAAGTGCTGATAAATTAGTGCATAGGCAAGTGATGCATAAACAATCTATACTAGAGATAATGTGGGAATACACGTTGCCACACAGCATCATGATTATCAACACCTTCGCGTAATTTATTCAAGCTGCAAGATTGATGCACGCTCCATTGTCTCTGTAATAAACAGTCTGAATGGCAGACAGTCTTGTATGCATCCAGTCATTCCAATTACTTGAACAGAAAACTCTAAACTGCGCGATTTAGTAATTTCAGTTATTGTGCTATAATGCAGAGTAATTATTCCGGCAAGAGAATACCGCCTATCAGGTTCTAGTAATCGTTTCGCAGTTCTTTCAAATTCAATTTTTGCTTTTCACTTCTCGGCACATCAAAATTAACGAGAAGTTCTTTGATGTTTGGGATCCATAACAATAATTAAATAACATAAGAAAAGTAACACTTTATTTAGAGAATTGTAACTTTTTTTTTCTTTTCACATTCAAAAAGAATACAGAAAACTGTACGTTTATTTCATAAAAATACATAAGAAGAGGAAGTATGATTTACATCGAACACATTGATAGAATAAATATAGTTGAATACCGAGAATAGATGTGATTTATATTGCTGTAATGAATTTTAAATACTAACAACAAATTCCAATTAAGGTACATTTTTAACAGAAAAATATACATCATTTTATTCGTGTTCTTTTCACAATTTACATAAAAATAATGTTTCCCATTAAAAATCTCTAATTTCTTGTTCATAATTAAATGTCTCAAAACAATGAAAACGATGACAAGAAAACAGTATCTTACATTCGATTAGGCCCATAAAACTCCGCAAGAGTCGCCTATACAATGTTAAGAAGCTGAAAAAGGTGACCGTTCGTTGAATAATGCCGGAAGGTATTCTAAAGACACCCACGCAGCATGCATCAAAAGAAACTTTCACCTGTCCTGGAAGTTTGACAAACGTACACCTGTAACAGCTGAGGAACTAATCGATGATCCGCTGCCTGCTTTTTAAACGGCGTCTCCGTCCACGTCGCGGCGCGAAAGGATAAGCATAACGAAACGTTCAATAGTAACGGGAACGGGAAGGCTAAAGGTGATTACGGCGACAGCTTACCGAGATGGATGGCGCGTCGAGACAACCGAGTTGGATATAACGTCACCAGACCAGCTTCTGCGTTTGTTCGTCGCGCGCTCCTCTATTCGGTCCGAGGTGAACGTTCGCGCATATCCGTGCTGAAGGAGTCTGAAAACCACTCGAGAAAATGCGAAGTCTCGACACGTTAAAAATGAATGTGCCATCACGGTTGTGCGTGAAGAGGCGCAACGGAGACGGAAAAATGGAGAAGAAGAGGAGAAGAAGGAGAAGGAGGAGGAGGAAGGAGACGCGCAGACATCGGTGAACGGGAAAAGATGAGAGAACGAGGGATGAAATAGGAAAGAGCATTTTAAAAGAAGGGACAACCCGTTTCACGACAGCTCTCGGGGCAGAGGAGTTTGCGAGGCGTCAGGACAACGATGCTGCTGACCGATTAGACGGAGACCCGCTTGAAAATCCCTGGGCGAAACCGGTCTGAGAAGATCTCAAGCCTCTACGGTGAAGCTGGCAATTGTTCAGCGGCACTGGTCAGCCACTTTCCCGCCTTAAGATTCCCTCCAGAATGTAAACAGAGCCAGCCGCTCTCGGAAGACCGCAACCTACTCGAAATAGAATCAGTCAAAGGCTGACACTTCTCGCCGGAGGAATACCAATTAGCCGCTGGAAGTCGGTCCTGCTAACAAGCGTGATGCCCTCTTGACGTTCTTCGGCATTCGTCCGTCGCAGTCGGACCACCTACCGCGAAAGTAAAGCGAAGCTTTTCTTCCCCTGTCCACCCCCCTGCCGGCCGTCCGCGTCCGACTGTGACTAATTATAGGAGACGTTTGTCGAGTTTTTACGATCCTTCTCTTTACCGCCGTTCCACGGAGTTTCATAACTGGCGACTCGTCGTCTCGGCCACGACTTTGGCTGGTCTGTTTAATGACTGTTAATTATTTGTTTACGTTTAAGGCGTCCGAGTTGTCGGGACATCTTGGAAAAGTGGACGTTTTGGGGGCGGCACGTTGTAACTCGGTGTAAGTTTTAGTGAACTCTTCTGAGTATGAAAATTGATTTAGAACTACTACGTGGAACTTGTGGAACTAATGTGAACCGGACGTGTTGATGTGATTAGATACTGCTGTGTCCGTATTTTTTTATTGTTATATTTTGTAGTAGATATTATGTTTATTATTGATGAAAAAGGATTAGGAGCTACTTTTCGAAAGTTGCATTAAACAATTTTTTAGGTGTAAGAGAAAATAGAAAATATCGCTTTGGAATGTCTTGATAATAATCATTTATTCTTTAGATTCAGGAAATGTAAATGTTACAATTTAAAATTCAATGAGTTAAAAGTTTATAAATATAGAAGTCTTTAATATTTACTAAAAATATTTTTTAGCAAAAATATAAAAGGTATATAGCAATATATAATGTAAGAATACGCTTTTATAATAATTTTATGTAACAGTTTTATAATCTTTTGTATAATAAACAGTCATATGTCTCCATCAATATATTTTTGACTTGCAGTGAACTGCAGTAATCACAAATTTGTATAACGTCCCAGAAAATTTTAATATAAATAGTTTGTATATATAGATTGTTGGTAAATAAAGATATTTAATATTTAATATAATATTTGATGTGTAATTCAAATAATGCTACATGGTAAACGATGACAAGTTTCCCTTAAACTTTGAGAAAAATAGTACAATTTTAATGCCTATTATTCTTAGTTTCTTTGTTCAGATAGTATTATTATTAGTATCAATTTTCACTTACTTTTACTTCATATTCCTGAATTTTTCTATTAATATTCCAATCCATAATTCTTTATCAAATTTTAGAATATTTATATACCACAGTTTTGTAATAAACATCGACTGTTTCGTGTAAAACATAAGAACAACACTCTCTGAATCATTAAAGTGGAAGCATAAATTTTAGAGTAAAAATATTCTAAAATTACATTTATGCATAGACTTGAAAATTTGTTACGGAAGAGAATTTTTAATGATACAAAAATTGAAAAGAAAATATAAAAGAATAAATTCTCTCGCTGGTTTACACCAGAATACATTCTTAATAAAATACTATACTATAATTTTAATTGGTTACGTAAAGACTTCTGTTGTTACAAATGATGTAACATCGCAGTCTTCAGATATGAAAATTGTATCTAATTCAATAATGAATAGTCCATAATCAATAATTCAATAATTCAATAGTTCTTAATTTGATTATATTTGAAAATTTATCAACAGTCCCGTTTATATTTACTTCATAGAACGCAGAGTCAACACTTGTGAATGGGACAATTCAGCAAATTGTACATGCAATGTAGACGAATATTTGCTAACGGAATAATC